GATGGATGGTTGGACTTTTTCTCCTACAAGAATTGTTTGTTTTTATTATCAAAACAAGCGATCATTCATATTTTTTTAATAAAATTAATAAATATCACCGTCATTTAATGTTGATTGGCGGACTTATTTTTCAGCTCAAGACTTCTTTTTTTTAATGAGAAATTCCGAATAAATGGGGCTCTCAATGGGGCAAACAGTTTTAATATTAACGTTAAAATTATGGAAATTTCGTTTTAACTTGTTTTTAAGCATAAAATAAAAAGAAAATTTGTCTGTTTGTTGTGTAAGATGTAATTTTATTTCATCTCGTGAACTTTAAAAACAGTATTCTCACTCGTGGCTTCGCCACTCGTGAGAATACTGTTTTTAAATCCCACTCGATGAAATAAAATTTCATCTTACACACAAACAAACAAATATCCTCTATAACTTTAAGTTGACTAATGATAATATAAATAAATCTCTCGCGCTGTGCGCCATATATACATGTGTCAAACTTATTAACCTCGCTGATATAGGTGTTAGTTTCAATGATAACTATTTCTGTTAGGAAGCATTCGTAAGGGGTGTGTCTGTTTACAGTGTTTGATCACTTGGACCGTATATATTACGGAACCTATATGTCACAACGTATATGTCACAGGTGTGGGACATATTCCGCCGAATTAATCACAGATGTCATTATATGCCATATACGTTTCTGCAATTTGGCAGTAAATGCCTGACCGTATATGTCACTCATTCTTTTATTTTTACTTCTGTGTCAATACACAGCTACTTGTTTGTCGAAAATATGTGTTAAAAATTTTTGACACTTGAATAAAATGTCGACTTCGCATGTCCCCCACTCTGACAGGGAGGGGTGATTTAAACTTTTTTTTCTTGTCCGTGCGCCTGTGCCTGCGTACATGCGATTGTTCGTCCCGGAATCTTAAGTGCTGTTCAATAAATAATTTAGTTAGGGTCATGATATGTTACATTGTAACATTGGTCAGCATTATGTTATTGCGAACCTGAGGTTTTGTTTGTCGATTCGGACGGTCAAGCCAGAGTTATTGCCCTTGACTTAGTCAAATCGGAAATCGCGTGTAGCTTCAACAGTTTAAGGGGTATGGTCATGAAACATAACATGAATGTAGGTGTCCACCTGATGTTTAGCTTGTCGATTCCGGTAGTAATGCCAGTAAGTGTCCTTTACTTAGTCAAAATCAGCAATATTCACCAGAGGTTTCGCTTTTCGGTTCGGGCAGTCATGCCAGAATTATTGCCTTCTGTTTGCAGACCTCTATATGCAGTACATATGATATATACGGATTAACAGAATAATAACGTGGGTGATATTAAAAATTTGTTGACTTTCATATAAATTATTTTATGACACATAAAATACATTCATATTAACTGTGACAAACATCAAAAACTCAATTGAAGATTGTAAGAAATTATAAAAAAACAACTTTATTATTAGATTGATATTTGGGCTTTACTGAGCCATTAGTATAATATGAACAAGAGTATGGCAATTTTGACAATAAGCACAATGTCACAATGAAAATGATTATTCTGCACAAACGATAAGAACTTTTGTAAGTTATCAGTCAAAACTTAATGTCAAATGATACACAAAACTCCAGAAAGTATTTCAAGTAACCTTTCCGTAACAAATACTCATAGCATACCCTCTAACGTTGCGTGTCTATTGATGAGTTGAGTTAATGATGTTTATATATCAATCTAACTGAAGAAAGAATCTCATATTTAGGATTAAAGAAAGAATTTTGACGATTCAGGTCACGTTTTGTATGTGTTTTTTTTTTCTTTTTTGCTAAATATGGCTTCATTAATATTTCTTCCAATTATATTACACCCCACCTTCATTGATTTCTTTGTGTGATACTTTTTCCGTTATGAGAAAATTAAGTCATTATATTAGTACATTTGACAATGAGTTTACAATTTGAATAGCTTTTAACTTTGAAAAAGTAAAGCTTCTGTAAAAAGAAACAAAAGACAAAGTTGTTTTATTTATTTGATTCATTAGAAAAATATGACTTTAGTCCGTCCTTTCAAAAATTTGAATATTTCATTTTTTTATTAAAATAATGTCATGTTATCCGTCAATATATCTAGGCATGTTTTTCTCTTCTTTTTTCAAGAAAACAGTAATATGGTTAAAATATTAAAATTTGACCTTATATTTGTTTCAATCAAAAACAATGTTATTCACTCTGGTGTTGGCGATCACCCTCTAGAAACCACGTTCCTATATTTTGTTTTCTGAAATTCTGTAAACCGCGACAATTGTGTTTTGACCGCATTGTTTGGGAATTTGAACATGCTGACTATGAAGCATAACGTGAAGATATAAAAACCTTTGCATGGGAAAACTGCTTTGATGCAGATGGTAACATATATGCCAATAACGTAATCAATCAGATACAAACACTTGCTAAAAATGACATCCCTAACAAATTGATTAAGGTAAGACCGTTAGATGTTCCATGGATGAAAAATCAATCAGAGTTAATATCCGGAATCGAAAACGTCTGTATAAAAAAGCTAGAATGACAAATTCACTATATTACTGACAAAGATTTAAATCCATTCGTAATGAAACAATATTATTGATACGGGAATTCAAGTCAAACTACTTTTGTAAACTCTCAAATAAACTGAAAAACCAAGAACCACTGGCAAGGAACCCAGGCGGACCCCAAGATTCTGAAATCTTTTATTTCATCAACAATTATAAGTAGCATTTCACCACTGACAGATCCCTTAAACAGAAATACTGTTTACACAAATAACGATAATGCAAATATTCTGAATAACTTCTTCGTAGAACAAATGTCTTTTAACGATGAGAACAGAGAGCCACCTTACATAAGATCACCACATCCCTGTTTCAACGATATTGTGCTTAGCCCTCATGAAGTAAAAGATGTTCTTCTTTCGTTACAAATTGACAAAGCAGTAGGTCCAGATTGTATAAGTTATAGAATTTTACGCGAGGCTTCTCATGAACTATCTTTTGCCCTTGTGTGACTTATTCAATGCTTCTCTAAGATATTGTGAAGTTCCAATCAAATAGACAGAGGCAAATGTCACTGCAGTTCACAACAAGAGCACTGCTAGGCGGGGTGTTATATGCCCGAAAGTACTTTAGCTGTAGGTTGATTAATGCTTGAATTATTGAACGAAAACTGTTTCCAGTTTAAAGGTGATAGTGACCTTGACCTTTGACCTTGTGACCCTAAAATCAATAGGGGTCTTCTATCCAATATGGAAAATCATCCTATGAAGTTTGAACATTGTGGGTCAAATGGAACTTAAATTATGCTCCGGAAACTGTTTTCAGTATCAAGGTAATAGTGACCTTGACCTTTGACCTTATGACCCCAAAATCAATAGGGATCTTCTACCCAATATGGACAATCATTCTATGAAGTTTGAACATTGTGGGTCAAGTGGAACTTAAGTTATGCTCGGGAAACCATTTTCAGTGTTAGGGCAAAAGTGACCTTGACCTTTGACCTTTTGACCCCAAAATCAATAGGGGTCTTCTACTCAATATGGACAATCATCCTATGAAGTTGGAACATTGTGGGCCAAATGGAACTTAAGTTATGCTCCGGAAACCAAATTGCTAACGGACGGACGGACGTAAGGACGGACGGACGGACAGACAGACGGACGCCAGGGGGTATAACATAATATGCCCTTTCGGGCATATAAAAATACGAACATTGGAACAACTGAAGTGACGTGAGTTTGAACGCCGACCTGGCTCTTCTGGGATTTGAACCAACGCACTATCAAAACTCTGTGTCCTCACTGAATATGAATACTCTACAGAACGGAGACTCGGCAGTAATCATCTAATACCTTAATCAGGACGGGCTAGGACGTGGAAATTTTTTGACATCCTTACCTCGACTAAGCCTGTCCTACCAAGTGTCAGTGCGTCCTTACCACTTCAGTTCTAACTCCGTTCGTGCAGAACTGAATACAACGCGCTTAGCGAACATGAGATTCTAAGTATTGGACATGCACAACTAAGTATCTTGTTCTTACGTGATCTTCAGACAGTCAGAATATGTTGAACATGAATAAAAAAACATTCTCATAGTGCATTTTGATTAGCCAAACGTTTCGTATGCATGACTTAGCAACATAGGTTTAAGTGCTACTGTTAAGCACTATAGCTTGTAGCTTTAGCTGTAAATGCTACTGCGACTTGTGAGGATGATAATGCTGCGGCTTGTGCTGCTGCTGCTGCGGCTGATGATGATGATGATGATGATGATGATGATGGTGATGATGATGACGATGATGATGATGATGATGATGATGATGCTGATGATGATGATGATGGTGATGATGATGACGATGATGATGGTGGTGATGATGATGATGATGGAGATGATGAAGATGGCGGTTGTGTTTACGATTCCGTCATTAGGTTTTTTATAATTAACGGTACAACACATTTGAATATTGACGTATTTTCATTTTTATGCGCATTTATGTTAAGTGACAAATACTTTTTGGTGAGCATTAAAAACTGAATCCAACCGAATATGGCACATTTTATGTTCCGTGTTCGGCTGAAGAGTGTGCCATATTCGATATGTCAGACGTGTGACAAAATCGAACCGAATTTGTCACATGTGTGCCATATACAGTCCGACAACTCATACCAAAACTCATCAGCAATGTTTATTGTATACTTACTTTGTTTGTATGTTTATTCTTTTCTCAGTTAAGTATTGACCATTTCCCGCTGCTTATAATTTTGTTTATAAACTTGCAAACATGTAATTGCAGAATTTGATATTTTGTTATCTGTCTTCCAAATAATGTGTATGTTCTGTGCATAATTATAATAATTATTTAAACCTTTTATCATCATTTTAAACCACCTGATATTTCAATGTCATACAGGTAAATTGCGCCGCATGTTTTTCTGGTAACCACTTGATACTTGTTTACATGAGTACTTACATCACGATTAATATTTCCATTTCAAGTTTTTTCTCAGACTTTTGTATGAATATTCAACAACGTATTTTTACTAAACTTGTATTTCTTCAAAATATTCTTAAAACGGAAATAGCCTCGGTTATGGTTTAATGTTGCGTAGATAAAAAGACACATGCATATTGGTTTAATATCAGTAGCGTGAGAATGAATGACGTGATAAGGATCGCTATACTGGTCTTCCTTGTAAGGTAGTAACTTTCTTATTCTACAAAGTTTTAAAAGTTGTTGATTATCCATATCTCTTGTTTTTGTTTTTTTTTTTTTTTTTTTTTTTTTTTTTTTTGCTTGGTTTGTTGTGTGTGTGTGTGTGTGTGTGTGTGTGTGTGTGTGTGTGTGTGTGTGTGTGTGTGTGTGTGTGTGTGTGTGTGTGTGTGTGTGTGTGTGTGTGTGTGTGTGTGTGTGTGTGTGTGTGTGTGTGTGTGTGTGTCTTGCTTCTTTTATTGAAATTAATTTATTTTTGTTGTTGTTGTTGCTGTTGTTTTTTTGCTTTTTATTTTGGGATAAGCATGGTTTTGGGTTTGTTTTTTTTTTTATTTTTTCATTTTTCAATGGATATTTACGATTTCAATCACTTATTTGCGTTTCAATAGTCATATCATTTTATTTTTTTTATATTGAACATACAGCAAAGTTATTAACAAATTTACTTTTTTTTAATATTTTTCACATTTGTTATACGATTTTCATTTAAATTATTATTTTATATTATTTATTTTTATTTTTTGCTGTAATGATCTGGTGATCTGGATACAAGTTTTCACTAAAGATAAAGTATTGTTAAATGTTTGAGTCTAAAAGTAGATAAAAATTGTTAGCTTATTTGTATTTAACGCCGATTTTAAAGTTTTTGTTCATTTGAACCACCTTACCTACTTTTTCTTGATAACTAACTAAAATTTCAGATTTCTCCGCAATTGTTAAAGATTGATAACACACTGTGTAACGCTTTGTTTTGCATAAGGTAGACAATGATACTAATTTCATTATATATTGTCAAATAAAACCATCGTGACACTTTATGGATAGGTAGAATAGATCATTTGCAAAATTATACGGTTACCCCACCACATTACAAAGCAACACGATAAAGCTAAGTATTTTAAATGTCTAAGTCTATGTGAAACTGAAAATGTGCCAGTCATGGCGGTACAAAATCGTTTACTAAGTCAAAGTCTTTTACAATGTATCATATTTACCACACATCAATAAAGTGATTATGAAATCCATCCATTTGAAAATGAATCTCTTAACGAACATGTTTCATAGCTACTTTATAAAATAGATTCACCATATTTGTAATTGTACGTCAAATGCAAACAGCCTAGTCGTCACCTTTTTTTTATTAGAAACATAAGATACCAAATATTTTCTGAGAATATATTTTGTAACTTTTATGGGAATCATAAAGTTATCAAATCTTATTTGGCGGTGATCATATGGATATAAACGCGGTCATCATTTTTGCAACTTTTTTATCATTTATGCACTACCATGTTTTGCCTGTTAAAATTGCAGACATTTTTGTATTAATGTTTCCTCTGTTTAACAAGCATTAATTTACTGAGAAGATATTGACCATTTCTATGACACATCTTAAAAAAGTGCAACATGTTTCGTTCAGTTTTAATTAGAAACATGGTTCAAATTTATTTATGGCAGTCATAAGTTTAAACTCGTAAACAAACATAATATTTTCGTAGCATGACATATTATACAGTTTCATTTTTGAATGATCATTAAGATATAATTTGCCTGCGGCACAGTATCTCGGCCATTTTTTCAAAATACATGTAATGCAGGCTTTTTAAAAAAATATATTGTATTTGCTATTACCCTTTTGTGTTTTCACAAAGAAATTACTATGAAGCAAATGTGCCCAAAATTTTGTTATGATAGCATTACCCAAAAAAATAGATACAGACATATTTACACACTAAAATTGCCCAATTTTACCCATATTACTATTATCTGTTTTAATTCATTACTTTATCTTTTTGATATGCACAAAGAAAATGAAATATCATTTCCGGTGATATATGATACTTGGTAAATATCATACTAGTTTTTATCATTAAGATGATTTTAGTAAAATCAGACTTTTGTAATGCATCAGTTTTCAACATTTAGTTGTAAATTAAAAGTGTACCTTAAAACAATTACACTTGAAATCTTTGTCTATTGAAATTTGAATTGAAACATATTTAAAGTGTTTTCAATACAAATTGTCAAACATTTTTATCATAGAAGACATATAGTGGTGAAAACAATTTGTGATGAAAAAGCTGTAACGTCATATCAAATTATGATACGATAAAAAAATATTTAGCCAGGTGGAATGGTTTTACGGCACACCAAAATAGTTCTAGTAGACATCTTTGAATAATGCTTCTGACATTCCACATAAAATCAATCAAAAGTAATAAATTTCAACAATTTAAAATCTTAATGTTGTTATTGTTTATGATTTGAGCCGCGTCATGACAAAACCAACATTATGCGTTTGCGACCAGCATGGATCCAGACTAGCCTGCGCATCCGCTCAGTCTGATCAGGATCAATGCTGTTCGCTATCAGTTTCTCTACTAGTTATGAAAAGCAAGGATCTTGTTCAGACTGCGCGGATGCGCAGGCTGGCCTGGATCCATGCTGGTCGCAAATGACTATGTTGGTTTCGTCATGACACAGCTCATTTGTGTATATTTAGTAATCAGAAACAAGGATTCTTTTATTTCATTAGCAATGTCCTTATTTTTTTCGAAACATTTCAATTTTCATGCAACTGTTAGATAACTGGAAGAAAGCTAAGACAGTGCAACTTTTTATTGTTATACACAAAAAGTAGGAAACTTCTTAATTTCGGGTATATTTATACATTTTTCTCATAATGTGTCCAATTATTTTACTTTTATTGTACAATACACTCTTAGAAATTTTATTACTATAAAATAAAACTCGAAAGTCTTAACTATGAGCTTTGAACATCTAGTTTAACATCAGTCCCCCTGATACAATTCATTTCAAGAAATATACATAAGAAAGTCCCATAATTTTTACTGTTTTATAAGAAGTGTGTTTGCATATTTGATTAAGTATGATTAAGTGTACCGATCCTTGTTTCTTTCTCTTTCTTTCTTACATGTTTGAACATTTCATTTTGCGCGGAAAAATACTGAAAATTTGAAAGCAAATATTTTAATATCTAAGATGAATTTTTCCGGATTTGTTTGTAACATTTGTCAGAATATATAATATTTTTAGTAAAAAAAGGGGAAATAATACATTTTTTATAATAAACTTTAAGATATTCATGTCTTTGTAACATCCGTCCCCTACCCACACAGTCCGCAAAAGATGTAATATTTTGACAAAAAGTACTAAAAAAGTTATCCTTTCTTTCAAAAATTTTGATGCAGACACCCTAAGGTACTTTAAAAAGCAAATATCACCTTGTATGTTAAACTTGACTTTTTTTGTTTTAGATGCTAAAACAATTGACCCATTTACTGTAATTTTGTTGTCAACTTTTCTTTTTCTTTAGTTTAAGTCATAACTATTATTATTTTCAACTTTTTCTTAGACACCATACCATGTTCGAATTATGTGGTTTTATAATATAATTGTATACAAATAAGGAAGTCTTCCTTTTCTAAAATAGTGATTAGTCTGTTTGCTCAGTTTTATATAATTTTAACACCGGTATTAGCTTTTCAACTCTAAAATGTAGTGTTAAAATACACTCGATATGATTATCGTCAAAATGGTTTTAATTCATCACTATATAAAGTCACGACCTTCAAGAAACTGCACCGGAAATGAAATGGCAATCTTGCTAAAATCTTGCAATTTCAGCTCAATTTAAATAAGCGTTTACTTCACTGTACCTTTAAGTTGCGTATCCTATTTCTCTAAATACTGTTAAAACCCTATATTGAGAACCACCAGTTACTGGACCAAAGTAGTCTTAAATGCTGGGTGTTCTTAATTGTGGATATTCTTATCATTGCTTACATACTTAAAGACCATGGTCTATTTAAGTCATTTTGTAAGAACAAACAATATGTATCTTAACCTACAAATACAATACATATATATGTTATAATATTTAATCTGCTGAGAGCAAAAAAAAATATTTCTGAAGTTATTTGATATCAAATACTCTTTAGTCTGATTTCAGTATTTATTATGATATGATGAACATATTTCACTTACCAAATATCAAATTATTTTTTTACAAAATAAATGTGCTGAAAGCAATATTCAACCACTCTAAAATTTTCCTTTGCACCTTATTTCATACAATTACCCAATAATAACAGTTTTTGACATCTTAAAAGTGGATAAGCGGGATGGTCTTGATTCTGGATAATGTAACCATGGACTTAATGAGAAGAAAATTCCGTTCTTTTAAGAAATGTTGTTAATAGCCAGTGGTCGGAATTCCGGGTGGTCTTAAGTAAAGATCCCACATTATTAGGTTTTAACAGAATTCGATAGTTAACAATTACTTGCGTGCCTTACTTAAATGTTTAATAAAAAAGCACAACGTGATTTTTACTTGGCATAAAATAGCATGAGCATACGTATATCCAATATGCATTTATTTACATAAGAAAATGGATATGAGTTACAAAAATGTTTACAATATATAACAATATGAAGAGAAAGAGAAAATGAGACTCATTTCTATTACATACATGGTACATTTTTGACATTTTTTTTCTTCCTTCGATGTTCATTAGTTCAATGGCGAGGTTATACGCTGAGAGTCTAAAAGTTTAAGATATGTTAAAGCAATTATGAATTCATTCGTATTTATAACACTCAGTATAAGTCCTGATTAAATGCATGTTTGAAAATAAGTAAGAAGATCATCTACTTGAATTATTTATTTTACTTTGCCAATTGTGATTCTAAATGTTTATAATTCTTTTTTTATCAGAATCGAAATTGTTTTATTAGCATTATGAGTTAGCCAAAGAGTAACATCATTCTCTCCTGACGAAAAGGTTTGTTAGTTTATGCCAATTGTTTCCACTAAATTAAATGAATAATGGATTTTCTTTGTATACATCAATTTTGTGGATGTTGAACATTCTCTTAGTAAACAATTTTCAAGATCTACAATTTAGTCAATATTCAACAAGCATATTTTTGCCTTGAATTATCATAAGATAGTCTAAATATGATG